CTTCATCCCAAGGAATGTATCACAGTGATTGAATAAAATATGCAGTATAACTAAAATGAGGTATAAATAATACGTAAAATCATTTTAAAAATTCATGAATAATATAAACCCCATTTTCGTACCACCTATCTCGAGGCTTAGGCCACTTTTGCGCTGACGGCCTCACAACTTTTAATGGAGGGTAGATATACAGCGTGTCGTTACAAACGCGAACACACGTCTAACGCGACTTGCCAACAATAATAAAAATAAATATAAACGTTAAAAAAATCCTTAATTAAAAAAATATTTTTCAAACAAACTAGTTAAGTGAAAAAGAAACAAAATTTGTAACACCTATACAACTACAACTAACTGATTAATACATTCAGAGACTTTTTCATTCGTTGCCACAGCGTCGCATTACAAGCGTCTCCTTCTAACAGTATGTTTTGTCTCTTTAAAATTCATTCAACGCATTCATATGCTTTGTGATCTTTACAAATGAACTTTACATTACAGTTTTATACTTAAGGATGTTCTAAAATTGTTTGTTTTGGAAAATTTAGTAACTCGGTAAATATTGATGTTTAAAGAATGTAAATGTTTAATACAATTTAAAAAAGTTATGCTCTATATGTGTGTTCATTTATTGTCGTGGTTGTAACGACACGCTGTAATATACAGCGTGTCGTTGATAATTTTTTGTTTTCCGATTATTAAAGATTATTAAAGTAATGTAACATATCTGTCTAAACGAATCCATAGATAAGGATCTCTAAGTCCCTGCAGTATTAAACGCCATTTATGTTATTAAAGACAATTACAATATACCTATTTATATTAAATTGAACGGTCAGAGACAGGCATTAATAAGTCGTTGAGAAGTTCTGCATTCGGTGTATAATTATAAAAGGTAAGTTATTTAAAAATATTAAAAATGCAATACAATGAAACATTACGTTTCTAAGTACATTATTTCTATAAAATTTGATGGAAATGTTATTCAGGAAAATGTACTTGCTGACTGATAACTTTTATTCAAATTAATAATATATGTTTTACTTGTTTTTCGTTTATTTATTTATTAATTGAACACTAAATAATTGTTTTCAATTCTACTCTCGTAAGAACAATTTGTTTGCGTAATAATGTGCTTTTAATATGAACTGCCCACTAGCTATATTAAATATATAAATAATAACTAAATTAAATTACACAACACAATAAATTAAATTAAACAAAATTTACGTATATATTATTATGTACATAAGTTCTCCCGTGTCCATAGCCATACTATCGTTTATAACAGTGCCGCGTATTAAAATCGTAAAATTAATTGTCATCAAGTGAAATCATTTCAATGGTGTTTAAATAAAAACTTAATAATTTCTAGGCACTAGGCACTTATTTTTTGTGGGTGTTTGATAATATACTTGCCTATATAATGAAAGAAAATATAAAATGCATTCAAAGCACGGTCCATTCCCCGTAGTCCGACTAACCAGTTTGCAACAAGCGCAAACGTGTCTGGTTTTAAGTACGCATCAAAAATGCTTAATAACTTCGTTTCACGTTATTCTTATTAGTATAAAACAAAATTAAACTTCCATGACGTATGTGAGAAATTCAAACGAATTAATTAGTTTTTCTTGTGGTTCAAATTTATCCAAAATATTGTCTCGTTAACCATTTGTCTTCTTACTATGGAGGTTTTTGGGAGTACGGTTAGCCTGCCAAACAGTGCCGAATAAGGCAAGCGCGGGGCCACTGTTGTTGTAGTTTGCTAGCATAACATGTGCGAGAGATTAATAAAAGAAATATCCATTGATTACATTGTATTGTACTTCTTACCTTTACTTTAAATTTGTCTTTAAGAAGTCTTTAAAGCAAGTTGAACAGTAAAAAACGATGGATGATATATTCCAGATTTTCTTTTTGTTTTCGCATGAGATACCTTAATTACGTTAATGGCTTAATTATGTGAATTTGTACAAGGCATTCTTGTGCCAGGTCCCGTCGAAAGTAGTTACTATGTACTGTAAAAAAAATAAACAGCTGCTTCTCACAATGTTGCGATTTTAATGGGTGTGTGCCATTTCAGTATTTTTAAAGTAGGTAACCTGTTCTTAAAGTAGGTAAATCTTTACAAAAGGAAAAAAATGAAATAAAATCTTAAAAGTGAAATTTTGTAGGTAGAGATTTTTTCGCACCATGAGACCCTCTCAACCTCATACGAGTAACTGATAGTCATACATACATAACATGCATACTTCTTGTCTCCCAGTATAATAATGATAGACAATAGAACAACTAGTAAAAATTCACAGTGACGTAACTAGTTTACATTTCTTTGAAAGAAAAATATTATATCCTTTGATTATATACTTAACAAGTATATGATTTGAAATACATCTACCTAAATAAATAAAATTAAGGTCTGCCGTACTAACTACCGGATAGATTTCAATTAATTCCATTAGGTTTTATTTCTAAGACACTTGGCTCTATTAAAAATAACGAATTTTGTAAGCGTTAAGAAAAATCCCCAAAAAATCAATTATTCCAAAAATCACAATCATGAAATAAATAACAGTATAGAAAAATAATTTCTGCATGATTATAGAGAATCCGTTGATCCAGTTACTAAGCTAAGATTGGTTTTGTCGTCCACAATCCAGAATAATCCATAAACGACATTCTATCGTTGACCTAGTAAAAATACCAGAAAGTTATTTTTATTTGTTAATATAATTATATTGTGCAAGAGATATTTCACATATTTCTATGGGTTTCAAAGGGAGATTATCTAATAGCGCACCCTTCATAAACAAGTTCAGACGAGGCAGCTCACCTTCCAACGGTCTACTGCCCGACTAAGGTAACAGCTTATGTAACTGGTAGGTGGGTAATTGAATAATGTTATGATCGCCACGCGCACGTAACTTTGGACGCGTAAGGCGTAAGTCACATAATTGGGCCAGGAAGCGAGAAATATCGAGAAACACCGCGCCAAGTATTACGTTACATGTTACAAGTCCTCCTGACAAGCCCTATTACATTGGCTGGTTTCAATATTGTAGGTATCTATCCTTTGATTTAGTTACTAGATATAAGTAGTATAATAGTTCCATAATGTTTGCGGGAAAATTCTGTCTCCAGTAACCAAATCTACAGATGGATAGAATATTGAAAGTGTAGTGTGTTGTACATGTACCTGTATTATACTAAGGTATTTCCGTGGCTTTGGCCTCGCCTTTTGTAATCTAAACACGTGAATTAATGGGATAACTATGCATGAATCTGCAATAAACAGAGTAAGCAGTTTTGATTAGGAAAATATCAATAAAGCTTTTAAGATATTTTTTCCCATTTTGCCCATTCAGATATAACTAATATTCCATTATTAATAACAGTTTGAGCAACAGTGATCTTTTGTTTAAAAAATGTATTCATTGAAGGTCGAGTTTAGAAAAACATTTGTTACCACATACTTCTTGATCTTCACTACATCCGCATGTAGTTTAGTTTAACCGAATTTTGGCCGGTTCATTTAAAAGAAATGGCCAAGTGCGAGTCGAAGTCGCGAATGTAGGATCCCGTACCATTATCTATAAAAACTGCAAAAACATCATGGCTGTTATATGGGAGCCCCACTTAATTTTTTTTATTATGTTTTTTAGTATCTGTTGTTATAGTAGCAACAAAAATAGATCATCATAACACCGATCATGAGATACAGCCTGGTGTAGACGCATACACAGATAGACAGACAGACAACGGAGTCTTTGCAATAGCGTCCCGTTTTACCTTTTGGTTACGGAACCCAAAAAAAACGTGATATCTCTTAAATGTCTCAAATACATCTGTTCTCTATCTCTTAAATACGTCTGTTGTTAATAAGCCTACTGTAATAATACCAGAATCATTATCTTGGACGGGGTAATAGTGTGACTTGACACAGACGAAATTTTGATAAAGGTTTAGAACAGTTGCAAATAGCGGATCGGCGGCCGAGCTTAAGTGAACTTTTCGTCCCTAACTTTTTCGACTACCATGCACTGATTTCAAGGGTAATGAAAATAGGCTCCAACTGAGTTAGCGCTTCTACAAAGACGTTTAAGCCATACCGCATACTATTATAACAGATTTTTTTTATTTTCTTTTAAATAATATTATTGGTACATTCGTTGCTGGTAGATAAGTATTTCGCGTGATTGAAACGCTTCGCGACACAAGACTTGTCCCTTATCACACGAGATTTTTTTTTATTTATAACAAAACTTTCTGGGTGATTTCAAATAAAGCTGCAATACATACTGATAGCCAATGCCTGACCCGCTAGGAATTCCTGTATGAGTTTTTTTACATTGTGGTAAGGCCAAGCACAGTCTTGGCTGTTGCTCGAATTGACGTCTCCGTCCGGTGAAGTACCAAAACCACACATAATACCGATGTGAAGTGGAAGTGTCATACTTCGTCTGGTCTGGTATCGTCTGGTGAGAAGTCCTTTATGGATCCCCTGCCACTGGATCGGGGCAGCAACAGGGGTATGTGAGAGTCCCAGTCAGAAACTGGTATCCACTAAAAAACTCACCTTGCACCTGTCTCTGTCCGAAGTAATCATTAATAAATAATAAATTAATTGTTGATCAAATTTCGTATAACACATTAATATACGAAATGTCAATGCCGGTAAAAAATACAGTGAAGAAACGGTAAACGCAGAGTTTTGAAGTTCTGATAAAATTGACGATTTTAAATTCCCTCTACAAATAGACTCAATGAACGGAATCAGCACAATGCGAGATTAATTTTGTTATTATTTTAAAGCATATTTTTTGATAAATTCATGAATGAAACTATGGACTCAACTTCATTGTTCGAGACAAAAAAATTTCCTGCAAGTAAATTCAATGTCGTAAGCAACGCCTAATTATAACCACAACAACAGCACGAACTTGACTTTGAACGTACGTTAATAAAGTATTTTCATTTAAGTGAAACCGACGTTAGTTGAAATGTCAGCGTCGGACGCACAGGACGCTGTTAAGACCAGCGACGGTTCAGTGCACGTTATCGATATCGAGAACAGCCCTGAACCTTCCATCGACTTTGCTGGTGAGACTCCAGCTTTAAGAATTCAAATAGAGAACGCTTTCGGCGAGCGAGTTATGAACGGGAACGGTAAGCGTCTTTTTTTTAAATAAAAGGTTCTATACTTGTTTTTTTTATTTATGCGATATTAATAAGCTGACCTTGAAGATTTTTTTAATAAAATTATTTTACGAGTCATCCCGTGACCATAAAAGTATTAAAACATAGTCATTTATATGGAAACTCTTCTTAATAACTTTTTTGAAATACATGTACGCACTCTAAAATCAACGATTATAAAGTACTGTTTTGTACTGCTGAAAAATATTTCTAGGGGATGATGTTACAAAATTTAAATTATCTTCTAAGGCACCATAGTTTAAATGATGATCATTCATTACAAGCAAATATAAGAAAAGAGAAGGAAATCAGAATTGATTATTTATTATACCGCACCTGTTGACAATAAATGGATTTAATTAATATTCCGTGACACTCGAAAATTTTATTTATAATTGCTAAATACTAATGACAGCAAAATAAAAATTAATTGATTGAATACATGTGAGTTTTAAACTTTAAAGTCAATTTTAATTAGTAGATTTATGTATATTTTTAATTGATGGACTGTCAGTGATGTTGTAAGTGTTAGGGCCATGAAATAAATTGATACAGAGATACAGAGCAAGAATTTATACGCTAGAGAATTTTTCCAGTCACGGTTGTTGTTCGATAAGACACATTTAAAGTTATAAGGAAAAATCATACTCTTAATATATTTCATAGTACCAACAAGATTATATACATACCTTAGATTATATGTAGGTATATACTTACGTCTATTTTATAGCACTTACGTCAATTTTATAGCACTGTTTCTTGTGTGTAAAGGCTTTGCTGTACAGTTTACACTCGCGTTAACTTTATTTGTATGTATATTAGGTCTTTACCTTGCCGATTTGTATGAAATAAGTTAAAGTATGGTTTTTTTTCAAACTTCTTTATTTCTGTTAATCAAAGTAATCACCCATGCAATCGATGCATCTTTGCCAAAGCAGTGGTTTATTGATGCCCTTCTTGTAGAAATCAGCTGAAATGGAAGCATCAAGGGAATTGAATTATTTTCCCGATAAAAAGATTTCCAAATTTAGGAAAAAGTAATAGTCGGTAGGTGTAAGCTCTGGTGAGTATTGCGGATGAGGAAGAGCTTCCAACTCTTGCAGCTTGGAGACTGTTGTGCAGTATAGGGCCGCGCAATGTCGTGAAGAAGCAGCAAACCCGGTTGTAAATATGCATAATGAAGAAGAAGCTCTTATTCATTGTTTGAAGACAAGTTTTTCACAGTACACGTCTACAGTAATGCTCATGGCGTTTTGTAAAAAGCATTCATTTCGTTGCCTGTCCAAGCGCGAGGCAGGTCTTGACCCGTGCGTTGCGTTGGCAATCGTTAAATTCGTTGGGCACCCATCTATCCGGCTTTTTTACCTTGCCAATTTGTCGCAAATGGAGCAATATTGTTTTGATGCTAACATCAAAAGCTGCTACTAACTCAGCTGTAGATTGAGTATCATCAGCTTCCACAATCGCTTTTAATCCATCATTGTTGACCAAAGTGTCGTACGGACACTTTTTTCGTCCACGAGGTTCATTTTCCGGAACCAACGGAACCGGGCAAACCAATATCGGGCAGCGTGTTCATTTGTAAAGTTCTCTCTGTAAACGTTGTTGGTGTAACGTACCCTTTGTGTCGCGTTGGTGCCACAACGGAATCCATATTCCATAATTTGACGAATTTATAAAGTATGACGACAATTTGATGAAAATGTTCAAATGTAATGAAAATACAAAGCTAATCAATAATCCAAAAAATGACTTTGTAAAAATAAAAATAAGTTCATATTTTGAAAAGTTATACTTTAATTTACAATTCACATTAAAATATTTTTTTTTGAAATGGCCAGTATTAAGAAACAGCAATTACGTAGGTAAAGACCTTTTATGGATATGGAGGGGTAAGGAGAAATATTTATTTACATTGGTTAGATTTGTAATCATTTGATGTAAGGGAGTGTAAAAGTTTATACTTTTACGAAAATTACACTAAAATAATAGGATACAATATAATGATATGCACCATGCGATAAAACGTAACGTTTAAAATAAAATGTTTCTTTTTCAATTTAAAACATGTTTATATCATATACCTAAAATTATAATTAATATCATTTCTTAATTTTACACCGTCCGCTTTTTTTAATGTGTCTTGCATGAAATTCTGAACAAATACACATCCTTACATCTGGTTTCCAGCAATATTCTTTTCTTTTTATCATGTGCCCTGGACAAAAACAAATAACGATATTAATTCCAAATTACATAATTTTTGGTTGTACTGCATTGTACTCTATGGAAATTAATAGAAAAACGTATAGGTAGTTATAAACTTATATAGTTAATGCACATGCTATTGCCATCATAAAATACCCTCCTTTAAGTCCTTTTATCAATAAAAAACGGGTATTTTAATGGCGCTTTATTTTATGCGGTCGTATTTAAATAGGTGTTAAAATTTTCATGAACTAATTTTAGACGTTTATAAATAGGAACGTTTTTATTTCTTAACTTCACGCGAATAGTTTTTGTGAAACTAAAAAAAACTCGAAAAATGAATCGTAGTTTATAAGTAATACTTTACACGTGTTAGTTCTAAGATCAGTCAGATAAACATTTTTTTCAAATAGTAATAAGTAATTAATACTATTTTTAGATGCGACACGAACAATCGCGGACAGCAATAACAAAACATTTGTTAAATGAACAGAAGTTTTTAGGACATTCAATTGTGATAATTTAAAAAATGATAAAAAAATTTCATAAAATAAGTAGATCCTTTTGAACTATCCAACTGAATAAATGTAATTTTACGTCAAATAGAATGGTATCAGAAACACAAATTAATATCTATATTTTGCAGGTCTGTGTAACACCTGAAATACATTACAATATTTTATTTCTTCCTAATACGGTTACCATCACAAGTCATAACTGAGATGATTTCTAGAAATCACAATACAAACGTTGACTTTACATATCTCTTGAAAGGTAATGATACGTATACATAGCATAGTATTAACAAAACCCGACAGTAACTATATAAGTTAATCTTGCGTTGTGACGTCACACGTACTGACGTTACTTGTTTCATAAATTCTACATGACTTTTCGTGCTCCGTAAGAAATATATGAATATTAAATAGTTTGAAGTGACTTTAAAATGTTTACACGTACAATTATATATCTTTTTCAATCTTCTTAAATACGGCCATGTGTCTTCCTAGCGTTCATAATTTCAAGTGTTTCCGATTCTTCAACGACCTTCTTCAAGAATACTGACCACGCTGTATTCTTTCCTGGATTCTTCAACCACTCCATCTTGCTTATATCCCCACCTTTGCACCGTAAACAATAAGATGATCACCTCCTTCAATGTCTCATCTTTCTAATTTCAAGCACTCTTCTTTCTTCATACTATATATTCTACTGTTTATACGCTACTTCTCGAAATCAGGATGGCTAACAGCCGCTTCGCATTACTACATAGTATCTATTAAACAAAGTCGTCCCGCTGTCCGTCTGTCCCTGTGTATGCTTAGATTTTTAAAACTACGCAACGGATCTTGATGCGGTTTTTTACTAGATAGAGTGATTCAAGAGGAAGGTTTATATATATAATACATTGCAAAAAGTTATCAGCAGAATCAGTCCCTTTTCAATTGTTTTATATGTGTATGTATGTATGAATGTACATATAATTATATTTTTATCTATGATTATTATCTGTTAGTGTTCTCTTGTATACAGTTTAGTACTTGATGATATTTATTACCTATATATAATATCATACTCGTAGATGTAGAGACTCGACGCATATTTGTTTCTTTTTTATTTGCGCACCTACCTCAACTTTTCTGGACCACCTAATAGGTAGACTTGAACTTGTAGCGTGCTTCAACTAAGACATTTTTCAGCCAACTAAGAAGATCAGTCAATTTTTATTATCCGTCAAGTGTAATATTCAGGAGTGTACAAGCTTGATTTCGAATGTGGGCTCTCCAGTATACGAGAAATCAAAAGATCTAACGTGAAGCACCGACGGTTGGAGAAGTCTGCAACTTTATAATTTAGGCGCCCCAACCACTACATTAGATTTGAAAAAAACACAAATTCTCGCAAAAGAACACCGTTTCCTGCTAAGGATGATTCAGCTTGGGATCCCATAACATATAATATATATATACTTATGATAACGTTTTCATTAAATACCTTGGAGTTATAGCGAGCTATCACGGCTCCTCACGATACTGCGTAACTTAATTTTTATTGTCTCTAGAATTATTGTTTAGCTGTGAAAGATAAGAATTTATACTGTTAGATATTGAACTAAAGAATCGATAAATTCTTTTCGCGTAAAACAACTTCAACAGAATAAAATTAATGTTATATATATAACGAACGAAATCAAGTTACGCATACCGTAACGCAACTACAATTCGGTAATCAGTAAGCGAAAGACTAGTGAAAGTTGCTTCTTCTTTTTTTCCCGGCGCACCTACTTACTTTCGGTTATTACTTTAGGTTAAACGTCGGTACGTCTAGTAAGTGTTATGTTATAAGATCTACAAGCGATATAAGTATGCGTAAGAATAAACGTAGGTACACGAGAACCATTGTTTATCAACAACGAATCTGCAACGCTACTGGAGTTGTATGTCTATGGACGGTGGTTATCACTTAATATTAGATGAACCGGCAGCGCGTTTGCCACCTTCTCGTATAAAAAGAACTCTAAACATGTTCTATTTCATTTTGAGCAGTTCCCCAGTGTATCTACGGAATCCAAGGTCAAATATCAGACGTAAGGATTCTGTCACCGAGGTGACCTAGGGGGTAGGTATTTGTAATAACAACAATTTCAACATAGTTATCATATTAGCCGACACCGAAGACGAACAAGTACTTATCGAATAGGCCTTGATATGTATAAAAGCTCCCATGATTATCGAAACCGGTCATCAGGTCACTGACTTTACCGATACTCGTTTTAAAAACGACAACGATTCTTCGTTACCAAAATGGCGATCAAGCATTGTTATAAAACGTAAAAAGAAATCAAATATTATTGGAAAATCCTTATCCTTAATAAACCTTACTTCCTTACTAATATTATAAAGAGGAAATTTTGTGTATATGGATGGATGTTTGTTACTCTTTCACGCAAATACTACTGAATGGATTTTAATGAAACTTTACAATAATATAGCTTATACATAAGACATAGGCTATAATTTATATACAGGTTTTATGTATATCTGTCTTTCTGTCTGAATGTTACGCCTTCGGCCTATTCTACGCAGACGTAGTCCCGGGTAGCAGCTAGTTGTATATATATATATATATATATATATAATTTCATCAACGCGTGGATTCCCTAACGGTTGATACAGGAAGATAGATTGAGCTAAATAGGCTACATCCAGCTCAGCCTATCTCAAATACTGTGGGCTTAAATGGTTAAGCAAAATTATATTTCAGCTTGGCCTAATTGTTATTGAATATTTTCAAACCTTTCATAGCGTTATAGGTACACTATACACAAAACTTACTAAATCCAATACCCTAACTTTCTATATTTTTTTCAGCGTTACATAGGACAAGCAAGTTATTTATTTTAACCATTAACCTTTTTTTACTTTAAATAATATTTTTGCTAAGAGACTCATTCGTCTACGTGTACGGTAGAGCCACGCAACAATTTTCGCTGTTGCAAGAATGGGCAGGTCCGTCGAGGTAAGGTACCACGAGCCCACAGCAGAAGTCAGGCATGAAGTGAAAGTGCTACTTCTGCGTTTCGACTCGAGTAATGTAGCCGAGGTCCACTTCATTAAAAGGTGGCAGCGGTTATCACTTAACATCAGGTGAACCGCTAGTAAGTTTGCCACCTCACATAAAACAAATTTAAAATAATTTTTTAAGCTTTAAAAATAAGGCTCACATCACTGAAAACCGCGTTAACACTAGAAGTTTCGGACTCATTGTATAACTAACATCCATGTAATCTTTAATCGATATTAAATCGTTATTATGCATTTATATCGTCACGTAACAACCAATCGTAGGACATGGTTACGACATTCATTCGAAATGTGTTTTAAACAATTGCGAAACTGACTTAACGGATAATATTTTGTTTATGGAAAAATACAGTCAAAACAAAAATGTCTATCTCTTATAGTCTCCAACCCCTAATAACTTTCGTTAAAATTTTTCTTTCCAAAGTTTGAAAACTCGAAGGTAAATTTTTCCTACAGAAAATAGAATCCTTACTGGTAACATCCCCGCGAATCGAAAAAATACTTTACTTAATATATATAAAAAATATTAAATATACACGGTATAAAATGTAAACTTTACTAGTAACTCACTTGAAGTAAGTACCTAAGAAACATCTAACAAAAACTTCATATACCGCAATTTCCAAATTGCTAAAACGAATTACGAACACTTAAATAAAAATTAAATATTTAATTTTTCTTTTCTATAACACCCTTAAACCATATATAGCTTTCAAGATCTGGCAGTCGTTAATCATTTGTGACGGGATACCGTATATGTATATTTGCGTATGAAAAATAATAATAATCAGAACTGTTTAAAAAAGGGACTGTTTAAAAATGTTTAACGAGTAAAAGTTAAATGCTGGAAAAATTAACTTATCTAATAGGTACGTAATTCATTCTTTATTTAAATAAAATACTGATTCATAAGGAAGTGATTTTTATGTATGAGAAAGTGGCGGTCATGACTTCCTCATAATTATATTTTATTTTTACACTATCGAACCAACACTGCTAGACCTTAAGATACCATTAGCTCCTTTTGCGTAGACTGGAATAAAAATAAACAAAATAATTGACTGTAGCCGGGGTTAACTATGACATCAACACACTTACGCCCGGTTTCTGAAACATGGATCATCGTAGATGTCAACTAATCAGCTGTGTGTTAGTCTGTCCCGTGACCTGTTAGTCTGTCCCGTGACCATGAACGCTGGAAAGGGTTCGAAACGTCGGGAAATTCAAATCAAAATAAAAATGCGATAAAATCCGTAAATTAGTTTCATTTAATATTTAATTAATATTTGAAATGCACTTTATTTCGAAATATGATGTTCCTACTTACTATTATAATTGTCGAACCTTAGTAGTTCTTTCAATTTTGGCAATTTCAATGATGTAAATGATTGCATTCATCAATCTCCTCACAGGTCGAAATGGCACCTATTATGTGGATCTTCCACGAGCTCTGCGTTCGATAAAGGCTTTATCATAAAGCTTTAATAGCCTAGGGACGAGAGCAAAAACATGGACAAAGAAAATTAATTAGTGCGTTCTAAATTTAAAGAAAAAAAGGATACGTTTTAAAACCGGAAAAGATAGCCACGTGAGGTTGATCTATCAGTAACAATGAGCCCGCCGGCGCCGGAGCACGCCGCCAACATTTACGCGGACACCGCAGTGGATAGGGACGTGCACATTGTTGACATAGATATTATTATCGATAGAAACGACTCGGAGACTATCGAGAAAAGTGATAACAGCACTACCATCAATTTCAACACGGTATTAGACATCGAGAACGGCAAAATGAATGGTAATATTTATATTGAATAATCTTTTTTTATGTAAACATATATCGTTAAGACTATATACTTAAATATTATTCGACCTTTATAAATTATTTAGACTGCTCGATTAACATCATCCGTTCCTTTCTTATTTTACACCCAAATCTATCTAAGAAATCTATCCATCTAAGAAATCTATCTATCTAAGAAAACATAAATTATTTAAATTGCAGCCGCTGAAATTATAATGCATAAAAAGCAATTGCAAGCTTATCCTTTATTCAATCCGTTACTTCCAAAGGTTGTGACTTGCCAAGGCATTCAAATTCATTCGATATTGTATGTAGTAAGTACATAGTTGTGAATCACGTATAATTTATGTAAAATGTGGTCGTGAAGAGAAGGCGTTTTACGTAATTATATATTTGCATAATACACAAACACCATTTAAATTTAAATCTTCACCACACATATCTAATGCCAAGGTAATTTTTAAAAGTACATTATCGAGATGGCATTCAGCATACAGCTTTTGACTACCAGCTTGAATTCCCATTATATATAAATTTAAATCTAGATAAACCAACACTGCAAAACCTTTAGATACTATGAGCTTATTCCGCAAAGCTGACGACAAAAATCAGCCTATGATGGCCACAAACGTAACAAAGTACTCAATACATCGAGAATTAAAAAAATTAAGCGTGATAAAATCAGTAAAATACTTAATTTTATTTTACAATTTAATAAATTCACATAAAAAATATTATGATATCCAACTGAATAAGAAAGAAACAATAATCATTGTACGACATAATGTTAATTATATTTACATGATTTTAATACAACACCGGTGGAAAGAGCCAAAAAAATTTGAGGCAAAGCATTGTTCTAATGACATTACAATACCTGGAAGTTTCGTTTAACTTATTGTTCGAGAAATTGGGAGTACAATTATGAAATTATTTTATCTACAATTTTTTTGCGTTTTGATAAGACGACGTCTTTTAAATGTATTATTAAGTTATAAAATATTAGAAAGTAATGTGTTATTACACATTATTAATTTAAATATAAAATAACAAAATTTTTAACGACACATATTTTTGACTTCCAGGATAGATAAAAGAACTTTTGGAGCCATTTTTTTATTATAAAATATTAAATTATCCTACCACAAATAAATCTTTTTATTTGTACATAAATATTTTAATAATTAATGACTCACCTAATCAACCAATACAACCCAACATATAATATATCCATCATACGAATATGTTCAACTGAAAAAACTAAGGACATGATTTACTTACACTTTTGCTTAGTTGTAACAAAATATATTCCATAAAGTTTAATGATCTCCTAGATTGCTAGCCAAATATACTATACAGTTACTTTTTTATTTTCTTGCTATGCAAAATCAATAATAATTCATTAATTCTATATCTTTTTAGTTATTCGTTCGAAAACCGTCTGTCGTTAGGACCTCGCATTCAGCGCCAGATTCGATTTCCACACGTGGCAAATATTTGCGGGATCCACGGTTGATTGCTCTAGCTAGATCTGATTGTTTGTCCGGGGATTGACCTCAGACAAGAGCAGATCGTAATAGGCACCAGATTCATATTATGTTTTTCCAAGTCAACCTGTGGGATAGGATTAGGGGGATGGTGAAGATCCATTGAAAGTTCATTCTGAGAGTTTTCACGGACTATTTATTGTAAACACTATGTAATCAGACTCGCTTTATATCTTTCAAGATTTTCGACCGCGGCTTCACTCGCATTGAAGCCCTTAAATAAAACCTTTTCCTATAATCTTTCAACCCTTTACAACAATTTTTCCAATTAAAAAATAGCCTATGTCCTTTCTCAGGCTCTAGACTATCTGTGTACCAAATTTCATTTAAATCGGTTCAGCAGTTTTAGCGTAAAATCGAGACAGACATACAGAGTCACTTTCGCATTTATAATATTAGTATGGATTTCTTCCATTTACTCAAGCGCGTGTATTGTATTTAATGGTCACTAATTATTAATCCTATTAAATCCAAGTTCGTTCAACGCTACTTAAAGGCATATTTATCTAAAACGTTATACTATTAGACATGAATTACGACTAACAATTATTAAATTGAATTTTTAAACCCCTTTCCTTCAATACCGATTTTTAAGGGAGGCAGAGAATTTTATAGATACTTATAAGTTTCGTATATATTTTTTAAGGATTTTATAGCTATCAATTTTAGCTAGCCATCACTTAAAACAACACTAATAAAATATGTCTAAACCTTCGAACTAAGGTAACCTGAACAGCCGTGCGATATTTTTAGGAATCATACCAAATCCAAAAAAATCAAACCAAACAAAATCAAAAAGGTTAGGAATCAAACCCACCAGCAAAGCACTAAACTATCACTAACTTATCACTAGACAAATTAATTGCCATGAAAAATTGTCCTGAGTTGTATAAGAAACTATTTTGAATATACTCTATAAAAACTAAATAAGAATCATTGCATCATTTTACTGCAATCCAATATATTTAAATATAATTAACTTCAAGCGTGTTACCAAAACTTACCCAACGTATTTAAATTCTGATCACGAAAAAGGTTCTAAGTTGGGCCACACAAGACGAGAGGCATATACAGTAGCTTATTGTGACGTTCCGTTCTAGTAAATATTAAACTGAGACCTAATTTCGCTAACTTCATTTAATCAGTCTCTGGCAAGTTAGTTATTAAATTAATAAAGCTTTTCAATATTGTTTAAGTGATTAAAATATAACAGACGATTATAAAATACTAGCTGCTGCTCGCGACTATGTCTGCGTAGAATAGGCTGAAGGCGTAACATTCAGACGGAAAGACAGGTACACAAAAAATATGTATATAAATTATAGCCTATGTCATATTCTGGTATATAAGCTATATTATTGTAAAGTTTCATTAAAATCCATTCAGTATTATTTGCGTGAAAGAGTAACAAACATCCATACATACAAACTTTCGCGTTTATAACATTAGTAAAATATTATTTTTAAATATATTTAAAACTAGCGAGCCGCTTCGGCATCGCACGGATGCAATGCTGAATGTTTGTTTTCGACATCGCATTAGAAACCTCTAAAATTATCAATGTTTCTCTACTATATTTTGCATGAATACATATAAACCATCCTCTTGAATTAATCAATTAAAAAAAACCGCATCAAAATCCCTTGCGTAGTTTTAAAGATCTAAGTACATTTAGGGACAAACAGACAGTGGGACGACTGTTTTATACTATGTAGTGATGATTTATGATAGATTAGATTTATGATAGTGATGATGTCTACAGTACATATGTTCATCGTCTCAGAAAAATTGAGAATGTACTTCAACCAGCAAAGCAGTGAAATTAAATAGAGTGACAGATTTAAACATTAGTGCCTTGTAGGTAGTATAAATAGTGAACTTTTTCTTATAAAAAACCTTTTTTATTAGTATGCTACGGGTACTAGGTTAATGATATTAACTATGTAACTAATTAATATTCTTTGATTATATACTTGTCATGTATATAATTAAATTTTATATTATTCTAAGATCATAAACAAAACCCCGTATCGATTTTCGTTATTTTTTTAACATAAAACTTCATTGACTAACTTTTTTGCAAAAATTGAACTTACTACTGAATATTTTAATAAAAGTATTTTATTCAAAGTCAAAGTCAAAGTATCTTTATTCAAGGCTTAACTCTTATTGAACATGAATAAAAAATCTACCATCGGCTCACTAAACTAGACCTGCACAGAGAAGAACTGGCAAGAAACTCTGCGGTCTTGTTCTTTTTGTTATTTTTTTTGTGATGCAATTAAACAAGCTTATTTAGGTATAAAATCAGCAGCCGCCAAGGGTCTTTCAAATGCAGAGCAACAGTCATTTGCACGCATCCTTGTCCTCTGTATGTACTCTTGGACATTATAGTAGGCCCTTGCCATAAAGGTAGCTTTTACAAATTGTTTGAAATTGTTTATTCTTAGTTGTTTGTGGATGTCACCTATTTTATTATAAAAGTTGAGGCCTCTACCAAGAAACGACTTTCTGGTTTCAGAGTGTCACCACGGCCCCGACGTGATGTGGATTGTTTTTTCGTAAATAGGTGGATATTATTACGTACATACATGATGTTCTCAAGTATGTAAAGCTAAAAAAGTTAAAACGTTTATTTGCTTAAATACATGCCGTAGTGACTCACGTGGCCCTAAGACATAGACAGTATAGCCTGCTTTTGAAATACAAATATTGTGTCTAAACTGGATGCGGAACCCCAAAGTAAGACACCATAGGACATTATGGTGTCTTACTTTGGGTGAAAATTAGCATAATAAACTAATTTAGCTGATTCCTCGTTAGTTAGCGTTAGCGATTTTGCGTATGGCAAAGACGGCAGCGCTCAATTTCTTAGCTAATTTATCTACATGAAATCCCCATTGCAACTTGGAGTCAACGCTTATTCCAAGAAATGCTGTTGAAACATTAAAAGGTTAAAATCCTCAAGGGGTAGGATTTTCTCATCAATAGAGATTCCTGATTGGTGACCCAACTTTGAAAGAGTAAATGTAATACATTTTGTTTTATTGGAGTTCAAAAGTAAGTTATTGGTAGCAAACCAGCCTGACACAACATCTTTCTTTTTAACTTTAAACAATAGTGAATGTCATCCGCATGTCATCCGCAAACAAACCAATTTGAGACCTTTTTTCCACTATATATGGCAAATCATTAATATAAACTAAAACACAAAAGGGCCCCGGATCGATCCTTGAGGAACTCCCATTTTTACTTTTGCCCCGTTGACAATATACCATTTATGATTACTTTTGTTCCTTGTAATTAAGATACGAGGTAACAAAGTCAATGGCACAATTGCGAATACCATAATATTCCAATTTCCTGATTAGAATTGTATGATCTACACAATCAAATGCCTTGGAAAGGTCACAGAACATACCAATGGTGTCATGAAAGCTTTTTCAGGACTGCAGGATATGTGA